TATATAAATTGAGAAACATAATCCAAATTGCATATTAATAAATTGTATTCATTATGAATAAAATTAAAAACTGTAAAGAAAGCTCTAGTACCAATATAAAGAAGAAAATAACTTTAACTGATGCACAAAAAAAGGAATTATGTAGAAAAAAATACAATAATCCTAATTTAAAAGGTATTGAATTAGCTAAGGAGTATGGAATAAGTGAACAATCAGTATCAGATATTCTCAAACATTCTGAATACTGGTTAGGTCTCAAAGATAATTCTACTTTAATTCAAGCTAAACGTCAAGAAAACCTGATTATTCTGATCTTAAAGAAGCGATGTCTATTTGGATTAAGCAGGTAATCAAAAATGAACTTACTCTTACAGGCCATCTTCTTCAAGCTAAAGCTAAGAAATTTGCTAATCATTTTGGAATTACTAAATTTAATGCATCTGATGGTTGGCTTGCTAACTTTAAAAAAAGAAATAATATTTTTTTATATTGACATAGAGAAGAAGCTAGTAGTGTGTCTTTGGAAGATGTTTTAAACTTTCATATAGAACTTTAAGAGGTTCTTTAAAATTATGAACCTAGAGACATATTTAATTATGATGAGACTGTGTTTTTTTGGTGACTTGAGCCAAGCAAGACACTTGCATATAGTCCAGTTTTAGGAAAAAAAAACCAAAAGACAGAGTTATACTTATAATTACTTGTAATTCTACTGATAATGAAAAATTATCACTTCTTTTTATTCATAAATACAAAACTCCATATGTACTTTATAGTATTGACAAATCTACTCTTCTAGTCTGGTATTATTGGAATAAAAAAAGGTAGATGCAAAGAAGTATATTTACTCATTTTTTTAGAATAATTTAATAGTCAAATGAGACTTGCTTGACGAAACATTATTTTACTTCTTGATAATGCTTCATTACATAATTCAGAAAATATTTAAGACTTATCAAATATTTGTATACATTTTTTACCTTCCAACATAATGTCCCATCTTCAGCCTATTGATCAAGAAATTGGTTATAGCCTTAAAGTAATTTTAAAATAATTGTCACATTTTTAAATCAAGGTTCCTAATTTCAAGCTTTAGCCATAATAATAATTTATAAGGTTTTTACAGAATAGCATATCTATAAAGTGGGTTTCATTGGTTAGACTATATCTAACTAATGAAATCTATATTGTAATGCATTATTCTGTAAAAACTTTAAGAATCTCAATTCATTATTATTTATTGAAAAGTTATATTTATTTTTTGTAGGCACAATATCGATGTATTTTGTGTTAAAATCATCTTGAAGCTTATAATACAATTACCAAAGACAATCCAGTTCTACCCGATATTATACTATATGATGCAATTAACTTTGCAGCTCAAGCATAGAAAAATGTTACTGCAGGTATAATTATTCATAGTTGGGGTAGAGCTGGTATACTTCCTTCTATTACTTCTATGCCTGAAAAAACCAGATTAGATGTGTTCTTGTTTGAAGAAACTGAATTAAATGTGTCTATATCTGAGAAAACTGAATTGGAGAAAGAAATTATAAATCTTATTCAACGTTTACCAATTGATGATCCTATAAATGCATATAAATATATTGAGATTGACAATTATATAAATATCGAAGAAGACTTAACTATAGATGATATTATTGATGTAGTAAATAAACAAGATAAGAGTGAATTAGAAAAAGAACAAAATGAAGAAATGATTAAAATTGGAAATGCAATGGTAGAACTTGATAAGGTAATAAAATATATTCAGCAAAATGATCTAAAAATTACTTCATCTTTAATAAAAGACTTATATAGCCTTAAAAAGTAAATTAACTATTTGCATAATAAAAGTAGAAGACAAGCTACATTAGAAGAATTTATTAACCTTATGGTTTAGAAATTTTTATTTTATTTTAGTGACAAAGAAAATGTATCTAGCATTACAAATAAATTTTTTTATTTAAATGTTTCTAAATAGTTTATAAAAACAATGTTTTAATGCTATAGATTGATTCTACTTATATGCAGTTTTTAAAAATTTTTTAAAGATATTATAGTTTTAATTAGAATTTAGTTCAGGCAATAGACCTGGTTAAATGTAATTAAAGTTTAAAATTTGGGTTAAAAACTGTTTAGAGCTGTTGGATAACCAAAACTCAATGTGACTAAGATAATAGTACCTATATAAAAGTTAATTTTCTTAGCTTTACAATCATTAGTAAATCAAAAAATACAATTTTTCTGTAATTTATAATTACATTCAAGTGAGATACTTGATCATATAGTTTTGATAACAGCTAGTCTGGTTTAGTTCACAAATTAATATAAACAGTCTTTTATAAACTAGACTATAATATCCCTAGTTCTTATTAAAAAGATAGACTAGCTCATTACTAATAATATTGATTACTATATGATAAGACAGGAGTATTTGTATAACATCAGTTCAATTCAGTTCTGAAAAGCAAAAGCAATCAGGTTGATACTAAAGCATATAGTTTTTATTTTCTATTTGCTATATAAATATTATGCCTCAATTATAGTTCACTAATAATTCTAATATAAATGAACTCATTTTCATACTTTAAATTATTTATACTTTAATTTTGGTTATAACAATATCTGTATACTTTTAACATCTTTAGTTCTAATTGTGCCTTTGAATTTATATTACAAGGTTTATATTAGATTGTCTTTATTTATTTCAATCATAGAGAAAAAAGGCAAGTGTCTTACTAATCTCATTTACTCTATATATAATTACTAAGTAATAAAATGATAATATATGAATTATATTAAATATTGTATGCATAAGGTCAATTAATTCATTACTGATTTCAGTAGTGATCATCCTTTAATGGAGATATGCCGAATTTTCTACTTTTATATAACTTATACATATATGCATATAACTAAATCAATAATGTACATATTATTTTTGTTAGTTACTGTCATTTAACATATCCCAAATACTTATTAGTATGAGTAAATGACCAATACTCTAATTCTGCGAATGTTTGTAATTAGACCTGTATCCAAAATCCTAATGATTTTAAAATTTAAAAATTTTAGAACATGTTATATAAAACCCAATACATAATAATCAGAACTTGTATTTAAATCTCAAATCTATTAAAAGAGTAGATATAGATAAGAAATTTAAATAAGAAGCCAACTCTTCAAATTAGCAAAATTGTGATTTAAAAATTTATTTTCTTGATATAATAGAGATTATTATAATTTACTATAATATCTGATATATCATGAGAGTTTGATATTATGGAACTTTTAATATAATAGAGCAAAGGTCTGGAACCATAGCCTCTATTATATCGAGAGACACTGTGTACATATATTATTTATTAATTATAACTTTGTTATTGTTATAAATAGATATATAAATAATTTATATAAAATATTCTAACTTGATTATTGCTACAGATATAAAATTAATATTGAGAATAATAAAAATAAAACATTTATTCATTAACAAAAGTCTGCATTTATAAATAATTCTAACAGAATATAAAATTAGCTATTATTATTATTTAAAGATGCATATCTAAATTATTAAAAAGCAGCAGAGATAAGTAATTTTATGAACTGCTTACTTTTAAATTAAATAATTTTAAAGATGTTAACAATTCAATCTAGTCTGATCTTATCTAGTCTTAAAATTAAATATTAAGTTTATTTTAATTTTGAATTAATTCTAAGATTTGCATTTATTAATATAAACTAAACTGTTAACCTAATTATAATAATTTAATAATCTGTTTATCTGATCTTGACAGTCTTATTCTAGACTATAGATTAGTATTTTTTAAACTAAACCAGACCAGATAAACTGATTAATAGCCCTAAATTTGGTAATAAATAAATATTTATATTTATAGTTTTTGATCATTAAATTTCATCTTAATTATATTTGCTAATCTGAATTACTACTTTGAACTGATTATAATAGATCTGTTAATAATTTACAAAATTATATACAAGTTACTCTTATTATAATGAAATGATTAAACAGAGAAAAAACACTCTTTACTAAAACTTATATCAAGAGAATAGTATATAAACTTTATTATATTATACAAAGAGTTCATAATAACTGATGATCATAAATAATGTAACAAAAAAAAATTTAGTCAGATTGTATTATCTTACATAATTTCAAACATATTTCTTAAATTTTTTTTTATTTTATTTACAAATACTATCTTTTTTAAATAGCAAAATTTTAATAATCATTATTATTACCAATATGAAAATAATTGTGAATTTATTACAAATTACTTGTTGCATTATTTTTGATCATTTTTGACAAAGATCAGATCATGTGAGTTGTGCCACATAAATACATATAAAAATGAAAGTTTTATTGTTAATTCTGTATCTTATATAATGTTAGAATTGTTTATAAATCAAAAAAAAAGAACTGTACAATCTCTGCCAAATGAGCCCAAATATTGCTTTTTTTTCAAAAAGGATACATCACAAAAGCAGTAGGTTGGGCCCATCATGTTAACTTTTCCATAATCTTATGAATTAGAAAAAAGTGATTAACAAACCACATACTTGAAGATTTAGGAAGGGTTGATTATCCAACTTTGTTGAATGAACCAACCCAAAGAAGAATAGTAAATTTAATTATCTTCTGTCAATGCTTTACTACTGTTGAAGTGAGGATCCATCTCAAAATAAACAAAAATATTGAAATTTTAGTGTCTACTATTTGGCAGATACTTCAAAACCATGATTTAGTATCAAAAATAAAAAAAAACCCCCTATTTGAGTGATAGTTATCTAAAAACACAACTCACTTTTGTAAAAAAATATTAAAAATGGATTGTTAAAGATTGGTCCAAGGTAATTTGGTTGGATGAGTTAAGATTCCAAATTTTTGGGTCAGATGGTAAGCAATACTATTAGAAACATCATGAAGAACCGTTAAATTAGTTTCATATTAAACCCACTATGAAATATGACAATGGATCAATTATAATTTGAGGTTGCTTTATCTCTTACGATGTTAACAGCTATTGTAATGTTGATGGTATGATGGATACAGATCTGTTACTAAAAATATTCTGTGAAGATTTGATATAGATGATTGAAGATCATGGATTTGAAGTCAATGAAGTTGTTTTTTAATAAAATGAAGCATCTTATTATATGACAACCTTGATCAAACATTGGCTTACAAGAAAGAAGATAAAGTTTTTTGACTGGCCTTCCCAATCAGTCAATTTAAACCTGATCAAACACTTGTGAGATGAAGTTGATAGTTGACTTAGAAACCTTCTTGATCAAATTTCAAGTGAAAAAGACCTCTGGGAAAAAATTCAGATGGTTTGATAGACAATTGATGTTGAAACCTGCATGAGGTTAATTCATTCAATGCCAGAATGAATCTGTGATGTAATTAGAGCCTGGGGTGGCTACACCAGATGGTGATAGCTGAAAATTATTAGAAAAAAAAAAAATTTTTTTATTTTACAATCTTGTTGCTGTTAAAATGAGCAAAAATAATGCAACACATATATTGAAATAAAACTTGTGCCTCCAAAAAATTTTAATTCTTAAATTTTTAAATTCTTTTTATTAATGATAATATTGCTATTTACGAATAAAATAAAAAAAAAATTTAAAAAATACGCCCGGAATTGCGTGAGATAATATGATCCGACTAAATTTTTTTTTTGGTTGCATTATTTATGATCGCCAGTGTAATAGTAATAAATTTAAAAACAATTCTTCACTATACATATCAAGATTTTTACTACATCAGAAGTCCTATAACAAGAGTTACTTGTATTTCTATAAACCAATAAACTTCAAAACACCTTAAAATAAACTGATAACACTTTATATTTTAGTTAATACTTCTGTAGTTCTCATTGAGCAATTATAGCACCTTATTTAAAATCTAATACCTAGCTAATTATAATTTTATTTACATCTGCTATGTATTTACGACCAATTAATTAGTCTTATTTGTAATTTGTGAAATAATATTAAAAAGTATTATTATTAATAACAATTTTTTTTTTATAGTATAAGTGATATCAACTATTTAATAAAAAAAAAACTATATTATCTAAGAGACATATTTGAAATATAAATATTATAAAGATTGATCAACCTTTAATCACTCTTGATATACCGACTCTCGATATATCGACACTCTCATCTGATCTACATTAATTAAACTATTTATATACATGTCGATATATCAAAGAAGTAAAATCATATGATTTGTGCAAGTGTCGGTATATCAAATGTTGATACGTATATCGAGAGTTAACCGTATGTAGAATATTATAATTAATGCCTATATAATTGTTATAAATTTAGTAATATATAGTATATTTATTTATAACAATAGTTACTACCGTATAAGCGCGAAATAACGCCCAGAGACGTTATTTCTAATCACGGCCCGAATTAAGGATAATTTAGTCCAAAATTCTAAATTACACCCCTGCGCGTTACGGTACATGTAATTATTGTCGCGGATCAAAATGAAACGAGAGATTTCTATTTGACCCCTAAAACCCACTTATACTTGTTTATTATAAATTCTACCCTTAAACACTAATCCTAACCCCTAAAAAATGCTAAAAAAATGCACGCACCTCAAAATTTTGTATTTTCGGTGGCTTGTCTATTTGACATAATCACTAATCTGATTTCGTCACAATTATACTACATGTAGTACGTAATAATCTCTACATGTAATAATTACTACGTACATAATAAAATATTACTACATGTAATAATATTTACTACATTACTACATATCATAATTTGAATTACACATATCATAATTTGAATTACGATGTCATACGTACTTTAGATACGGTCTCCCTTTATAGATACAATGACAATCAAATCTTGCTAAATTAACTTCATAGTGATACCTACGTGTGTAAAATATTTTATTGAATCAATCATTTTAAGAAATATTTGATTTCAATGTGGTGTTTGATTATGCAATACATGAACTTTATAAAGAAATATTATTGTCTGCACCGGTACCATTTATCAAATATGTGATTCACCGATATGCGGTGATCCAAAAAAAAGCACACCTACTTTTTAAAATAAATTCGACCATTGACAGCATTGATTTTTATACTTTTGTATATTACCTTGTAAATTGTCTTTAAAAAAAAAAAAAAAATGGCTCAACTCTCAGAAGATTCGAGACTCTTTAAAGGAGTTATTCTTGAATCCTTCGAGGAAAACGGATATATATCCACCCATCCACCTCAATCTCCAATTTTTGAAAAAACAAAAAAATTAATTTCTGATAACCCAATGGCCGTAGCTGGTGCATTGACTGTGAGCGGCCTTGTATTAGGTCCAATTGCATTTGTTGGTGCGGTAGGCGCGATTGGATTCGGCTCAGGTGGTATAGCAGCTGGATCAATTGCAGCATGGATGATGTCATTGAGTGGCGGTGCTACCGCTGCGGGTAGTCTCGTAGCTATTCTGCAATCAGTTGGCGCGGCTGGATTAGGAATTACTGGAACCCTCATATCGAGTACTACGGGTGCCACGCTTTTGGGTAAATTGTCCCCATTGATAACGAAAAAATTGGATGAAAATCCAGAGAAGCTAGCTCAACTAGATAATTTTGTTAAGATATATGACGAAGGTGGAGAAAATGACGAACCTACTGTGGTTTTCGAAATACGTAACAAGCTTCTTACGAATGATAATGCGCTTGACGAATTTTTTAAAATGTTTTCTTTAGTTTTACCTCTAACTCAGATAAAACGGTTCAAATTTCTTGTAGAAGCGTGCTCTATTGAAAATTTCAACATTTTGAATAATATATTTGTAACAAGTTATGGAGAAGAATGTGTTGAACAAAGGCACCAAATTATTATGCTAAATTTGAGTGAATTGCCATAGAAATCTTCGGATTTTTCAATAGATATACACTCAAGTCTTTAAATAAGAGAATATTTAAATAAAATCATAGCTACTTGATATGTATTAAATTTAAACCGAATGCAAATTTAAGGCTATGGGTTCGAGTTTCTTCTTTTACATGAAAAAAATCATTCTTTAGAAAACTCAAGCTTAAAATTAATAGGGTCAATACAGTATATTGTATATAAATAAAAGGATTTTTTGAATCATATTTTTATTTCCAGGTTCATATAGCGTTCGATGAATGTATCCCATTTATTCTCGGAAACTAGGAGTTACATAATACTATTGTAATGTCATATTTCCATCATATTATTTAGACTTGAATCTTAATTTATGCAATTTAATAAATGTAAAATTTTGTTCACAGTTTGTCTCATGGTACTACTCGCGGAAGGGAGTTTAAAATCCAATACCTCCCGTAATTTATATTATTAATGGTGTTGTTAACTTTTGGGCTTTTAGAACCTTCCTGAAGAGCTTGTTAGTAATATAAAGTTCTATTGGTACAATTAATTTTGATAACATCTAGCGACCTTTCAGTAGCCTTCAATTGATAACAAATTTTATCTCTCATCGAGGAGATGTTTGTAAAGTAATGAAATATAACTATGAGTATTTTGTCTCTACTACTTCGTGCAAATATTAAACCTAAACCACAACGCAGATTTTTTGAAAGTATCGATAAATGCATTTCGAAACTTTTCTTTTTTCTTTCATTCGTTACACCCTAACTACTAAACAATACCTACCCGAGCGTAACGTGCATGTACAAATATGCGAATTTTCTGTGACCGTTGTCCCGACAGGCCACCTACTCAATTTGATTTTAACTGTCGTCCGACAGGCCAAATCCGAACATAATGCGAACAAAAAAACGATAACTCTTTGTGACTGTTGCCCCGACAGGCCACTTATTCAAAATTTAAGATTTGACTGTCGTCCGACAGGTCATACCCCACTGATTACGCTCTTTCATCTAACAATACCCCCGAGCGTAATGCGTCCGAATACGATAATATTCATGTAATTGTCGTCCCGATATGCCACTTATTAATAATCTTAAAAATCAGTCCACCATTCATGAGACCGAAACGATGTTTCTTTTGTGACTGTCGTCCCGGCCAAAACCATAAGATATCGACCCAAAACTTGCTAAAAGCTCTTGTTAGGAACCCCACGAGGGCAGGAAAGGGCGGGACGAAAAAACCAAAGAGTTATTAGCAGAAAAAAACAAAAATTATCTTGTCTGGGAAAACCCCCGTTCCCTTTAAATATGGGAGGTGAGGTGTTAGCAGAAACCAAGCAAATTATTTCTAAGTAAAATGGTTTTAAAACTTTGAATTAAAATATCTCAACAGTTGTTAAAATATTTTAATTCAAAGTTTAAAAAAAAAAATTTGCTTGGTTTCTATGACAAATCAAAAAACTACGTAATTACATCGTTACTATAATAAACTCTAATGACGTAATTACGTCGTTACTATATACAACTAACTATAACGATCATCAGATCGAAAATACTTCATACTCCGTGTTCGATACTTTCATATCGAATTATCATATCGATATAACTATTGTAATTCTCGATACGCATGAGTGCCTGCGTGTTATTGCCAATGGGCGTTATTTAAATAACAGATAGATTTTCCTGATCATGAAGGACCATGAATACATAATAAGCAAATATTCTGCTGTGATAATGTGAAATGCCTGCGTGAAGAATCTTTGCAGTTATCACGTGCAAGTCAAACGCGAGCAGAATTAATCGAGACGCACATGGGTATTATTTTAAAACCAACTATACCATTTTTAGGAGTGAATGATTTTCGAAATAACGTCCATACCCGTTATTTCGAGAAATCGTAACAAAATATTTGGTCTACCTTCTAAGGGATGTTACCCAAACCCAGTAGTTTGGGATTTAGTAGATTCCGAAAGGGTTTTTACTGAATTTAATTGGAATTGCGTAAACGACTAGGTTAATGCCCTTAGGGTACCCTTATGTCAAGAAAATCCCGGGCTGAAGATCGCTGAAGATCACTTCCGACCCTATCCGGATCCAATAAAATCACAGGATCTCGTGTAACAAAACAAACGCGAAAAACATAAGAATTGTAAAAAAACACAAATAACACTAACTTCCGACCTTTAAGTAAAAGTTTCAGAATAAAATTTTACTTGTAAGATACGATTGGTAATGTTAAATATATAGAGAATTTTTGATATACTACGACCCATATCTTTTTGGCTGGCAGCTCAGGATTTCTTGACATAAGGAAATTCTCTTGGTGGGGGGTCGTTCCTGTTAAATATTGGTGTGAATGCATTTTCGTAAGCAAAACGTAAACAATGCAATTAATATCCGAATGTTTAAATGCTCTTAAACACAGTGGTAAGATTACAATAGTGATTTCTTGTGACAGTATTTTACGATGTAACTCATAGTAAACACTTTAGCATTTTGGCTGCACTCTGAGAAACCTTCGCTTATGAGCTTTTTGGAGTATCGATTACGTAACAACAATTTGGAACAAGAAGAAATAGAATACAGTCGATTTAGAATTGAACTAGAAACTATCTTCAAATATTATGATGAAACATCTGAAACTGGAAAAAAAAGTGTTACAGCTGTTAAAAAAGTTCCAGGTAAATGTACTTCATTCGGTGCTATACCACTTTGACACCTATTACATGACTACCCTGCTGGTTGCGGCTGGTAGTGGGAAAGGTTGCGGCTTGTTGTGTTTGTTTGGTGGCACTAGTGTAGATTTTTTACTATACCAACATCATCTACCATGTTGGTTGCGGCTGACAGTGGGAAAGGTTGCGGCTTGTTGATTAGTGTACAGTGCAGTGTTTAAACGGTCTACCTTGTGGGTTGCTTGCTCACAAAGAGAAAGGTTGCTTGCTTGTCCGTGGGTTGTGTTGCAAACTTTGTTCATATGTTGTTTATCTATAATTAATTGTCATTTTTTTTAATTTTATAAGAACGAAAAAAAGTTAAGAAAGATAAGTCATTTTTGGGAACTGCAAATAAAAAGAAATATTACAAGTAAGTTCATGTTGTATGAAGAAAAAACTAAATTAAATAAGAAAAAGCAAGTAGGTTGCCTTTATAGTATTTTTAAAAATTGATTTATAAGTACTTTTTAACATTTTTTGATATAATTTAATGTAAAATGAATTAAGAGATCAAATCTGTCTTGAACAGGTTAGCTTGTTGACTTGACATTCATCCTGATACTGGCATATTGAAGTTTTATTTTAGACTCAACTTGTTTTAGGTTCAACTTATTTTGAACTAATATTGTTAGATGAAATCTAAGAGTTTCGTCAAAACAAAATTAAAAAAAAAGACGAAATAATAAAACTGATAAAAGGTAATGAAACTGACGAAACTGTTGAAAGGTAGCATAATAAAATTTATTTAAATAATTATCCTTTTTACTAGAAACAAAGTGTAGTTAAGCGACATATTAAATGTTTTTGTACAAATACATGCTTTGATTGGATATTTCTTTTTATATACATCAAATTGATTACTTATTTCTATTTATTATAGATGTAAACTTATTGCACTATTTTACAAACTGTAGTTGTATAATTGGAATTGCATATAGGTAGAGATAGGCATGTGTGGGATCCGCACTGGATTTTTAATGTAATTCCAAAATAAGATCATCTGGTTAGCATTACCATAACATTTAGCTAGCATTAATATAATATCTGGCCTGTATTAACATATTTAGCTAATTTCTAATTAAAATTTGGTTAGTTATTTACTTACCATTTTACACATTGTTGAATTGTAGATTCCTATCCCGTTCTAAGTCACGAGGTTTTTTATTTTTAATTATCTTTTTCCTATTTATTTATTTAGTTATATAGTCTTTTTATTAATACCTTTATATAGTTATTTGTTTGTAATTCATCCTGCTTATGCCCTTGTTTACGTTTAAAAACTGTGGTAGCTATGTATATAAACATTAAGATGAGCAGTTGGGGCTAATGCCAAGCCAAATATTCGAATAAGTTATAAAAATTAGTACTATGAGCAGTGTGGCTTCATGCTACCATAGTATGAATGTGGCAACTGCTTATAAAGAAGTAAGTGACTGCTCATAAAGATTTCAAATGCCTTTATATAATTATTTAGTATAGCTTTCACGAATAAAATTGTATAAATATAGATTTTTTTCGCCTTTCCAAAAGGACCAGTTACGAATTAAATTAACAATAAAATCTTAAAGACAAATAAAATACTATACTGTTTCTAAAACATCTCAGATTAATTTATCTAAACTTAGTCTAATTCCCTATTACGCTATATTATCCTTGTATATAAGTATACGCTAGGTCTCTTATTAACATAAAGGAAGTAAGCTTTGAGGCTGAATAGACCTTTTCCTGAACTAATAGGAGATGTATCTTATATAGTTATAAAGTATAATACACTTAATATTATTGCAATCGATCAATTACATAGTAATTAAATTATTTATTTATTTTAATAGAATGCTCTTAAAGACATCTTCAAGATTTATGCCACTCTTAAATCAATCTCGATTACCTGTAAACTATCACCCCTTCCGATCAATTACTATCGACCTAGCCAAATATAGTATATCGAACCCTACCGATAGTACTCCCTTTAATAGTAATTGAACAATTATACTCATTATTATGTTAACTATTGGAACTAAACTGTACTACATCACCTGCTCTCCTGATTTACAATAGTAACAACATAAGTTTATTTATAATAGCTGCTCGATACGTAAGTATCGAGGCAGCTTTTGTCTCGAATCATGTACTATCCGATCGAACATGTGATAGG